TGACAGCTTGATGGCATTAGGGTACACTGTGCACTGGTATCTACTAGAGCCTTATACTTCTGTGGGACTGATGTGCTAGGCCGTATGATCCACAGAGTCCTGTATATCCGATTGTCCCCTACCTGCACCCGGCTCAAGGTAGGGCCCTTCTAATAGTGATCACAACATTGGTCACTTACGTCTTGTTGACAGGGATTAGTCTTTATCACAGAAGCTGGAGTAAAATCAGCTCTTCTACTACATCTGGGAACCTGCTGTCGTGGTTTAAACCCAGCCACGAAGCTCGTTCACTCACTCCCCCCCTTCCACCCCCCTCTTCCAGATGGATGAGGAGGAGAATCGAAAGAATGTAACTCCCATGGGTTGAGATAAGAACAGTCCAGTAACTAAGGTATAACACAAATCACTACTGCTACCACCAATAATAATAATAATAAAGGAAATAACAAGGGAAGAGAATACAACACCTCACCACTCGCCGACCGATAACTTGCCCCTTCCGACTGAGCACCGACCGATACCTAGTCCAACCCCGCAGAGAACTAGCCATTCCAGGTAACTCTCAGTTACATCCTGGGCATGACGTGCTGTGGTATGGAGTACCTCTGTCTACTTTGGGTCAGGTGTCCTGTCTCTGCTTCCTTCTGGCTTCCCCTCCTCCCTGGCAAAGCATGAGGCTCAAAAAGTCCTTGGCCAGACTAAACAGTAACAAAAAACATTGGTGTTATCAGCACTGTTCCCCGGCTGAAAGTCAAAAACACAGCGCTGCACCAGCTACTAAGAAGGAGAAAAAATGACTGCTACTGCTGAACCCATGACACCTGCTCACCAGAGACTGAAGCCACAGCTTTCATGGGATGATCATCCTTGACCTTTGTTCTCCTCTTCAGTTCACGCGCCCATTCCTCCAAAGCTGAGGTAGGTTTTCCATCCCACTTCCTCATGTCTTCTCTGTGTTCCCGCAGTTAAAACCATAGGGTGGCCTGTGGCATATACCTTCTATATCTTCTCTCTCGAGCAGTAGGATGCTTCTTGTTAATAGCTGAGACGTGGGTTGCTACACATGGGGAGCTGGACAGATCAGATAGATCTTCTCTCAATTGCTTGATCTCCTTGGTCAGTTTTTCCACAGCTGAAATGATAGAAGGGGTGAGATTGTCTTCAGACTCTCGGAGTTTATGAATCATTTCATTCACTGTTGGTGGTACTATGTCATTCCAGGTTATTGCTTCCAGTGAATGGGCATATGATGACAGCGCATTCTGTCTAAATTTCTGCCACATGAGTTGTGCACATTCGATTTCGTTTGGATCTATGGGTGCATTCCCAGCATCTGGCCTGCAATAGATCATCCCTACAATAGCTTATAACCTCAGAGACTAGATGACTTTATCGTGGTCCAGTTGGCTGTACAACTCATAACATCGTCCTTGTATGGAAACCTTTCTTTCACAGCTTCAAAGAGCCACCTCCAAAGGCTGAGGGACCATTTCTCTTTTGCAATTGCTTTGGCAATTCCCCCTTCCCTAGCAAGTGATCCCAGCTGACTGGCTTCCCTACCTTCTATTTCATGACCGTCGGCCCCATTGCCCCAGCATTGGAGCAACCAGGTGTTGATGTGCTCCCCTGGTTGACAGGTAAAATCTTTTTGCATATTCCGTAGCTCTGGGCCGAGAAGTCACCTCTTCTTCCTCTGGTGCATGTAATAATAACTCCTGATCAGATGCTGTCCCGTGTAGTAAGTGCATTGTTTCTTCATCTTTTTTCTTCATCTTTCTTGTCTTTTTTTTTGCTTTTCCCCTTGCGTATAGGGGCAACCGATATTGGTACGTATTGCTCCTCTGGTTTAGCTGCAGTGATTATCACTGTGGTTGGAGTGGCTGCAGTATCTGTTGTTGGGGTTTGGGTAGCTGCTGTACTTGTCACTGGGGTTGGTGTAGTTGCTGTATTTGGAGTTTGAGTAGCTGTGTTGTCTGTTGCTTTGCCATCAGATCCAGAGACATTTTTTTCCCTTTGAAAGTGGTGGATAGTGTTGAACAGGGCTCTGTAAGCATAGGCCAAGCCCCAGCACGTTCCTATGATTTGTCCCTCTCTGGTATGACCAGGATGACAACACACCTCATTTAAGAGTTTTACTAATTTTTCTGGGTTTTGCCCTTGTTTAATGGTGAAGTTAAAAAGCACTGGAGAGGCCCACCGGCCTAGATACTTGCGCATACTATCCCACACACCCTACCACTCATGACTGTCCAGCCACGGGGAAAATCTCTTGGTCCTCCTATATCATCGTTAACGCAAGACAAGGCCGAAACTCGACTCTGCTTAACTTTCGAGATCAGACAAAATGGCTGTGGGTAAAACACATTTCTGCATGTGTGCCAGCATGCTGACCCCCATCACAATCAGCAGTCAGGTCTCAAGGGTACCCAAAGGCCATTCAAAACCTTCAGAACTCTCAAGTGATGCTGTAAGTAGTCTGGTGGGGGGGGCTGGGAATGTAAGGAAATGTCTCCTTCATAAGTTGACCACTCGAGGAGGGGAAAAAAGATGTGCAATTGCTAAACGCTTCTAATATATACCTCCCAAGGTATAGAGGTGGTGACCACACTTTGAACGCAAGCCAGATCAGTTTCATGATCAGTGAGTCTATTGTATTTCAAGTTATTACCATAAAGTACTATAAAACAAGAACTTTAGCCCAGGCCCCCCAGCCGATAAACACTAAAACAACAAATACTGGCTCTAAGTAAGATACGACATGCTGAAACTCCAAGATCAAGAGCAACAACTTTGAGAGCCAAGAAATTAGCATTGTGACAAGTGACTATTAATACGAAAACAGTAAATGCTTATCACAAATATGATTAGACACACTGTGGTAAGATCTGTTGTTATCTCAAGCCTTCCAGCCCCACGTTGGGTGCCACAAAGAAGTGTTGTGGTTTAAGCTCAGCTGGCAACCCAGAACCATGCAGCCGCTTGCTCACTTCCCCCCTTCCTCCCCCCTCTCCCAGAGGGATGGGGAGAATTGAAAGAATGTAACTCCCATGGGTTGAGATAAGAATAGTCCAGTAACTAAGGTATAACACAAAACCACTAATACTACCACCAATAATAATAATGATAAGGGTAATAACAAGGGAAGAGAATACAAACGCTCAAAACCTGCCGACCAATACCTAGCCTGACCAAGCAGTGATCTCGCCCTTCCAGGTAACTGCCCCCACTTTTATACTGGGCATGACATGCTGTGGTATGGAATGCCTCTTTGGCTAGTTTGGGTCAGGTGTCCTGTCTCTGCTTCATCCCGGCTTCCCCTCCTCCCTGGCAGATCATGAGACTCACAAAGTCCTTGGTCAGAGTAAACATTACTTAGCAACAACTAAAATCATTGGTGTTATCAGCGCTGTTCCCAGGCCGAAAGTCAAAACCACAGCACTGCACCAGCTACTAAGAAGGAGAAAAATGACTGCTACTGCTGAACCCAGGACACTAACAAATCAGTGCTGCCAATTTGCAGGAGACTATAATAGCAATGTTTTCAGAAGAGTCATTCCAGATTTCAGTTCATGCAGTTAATAAAATTTGTTCTACATTCAATATTACATTAAACTCCTCCTTTTAACATTTCAAACCACTGCAGTGCTTTAAATTCTATACTTCCCCCTTTCTTACACTGTTCAGACACTGGTGTTCAGCAGCTAAAACCTAATTGTACAATGAAAATGATATATTGCTTGAATAAAAAAATTACACGAAATATATGAAGCAACTTTACAGTGATAGACTTTTACTCTGTAACAACATCATAGAAATTCAACACCAAGGGGAAGAAACGGTTTCAGCACAACAATTTAGTATGGCAGAAACAGATAATTAATTTGTTTTGCAGTGACTTTTTTTGGAGTCATTTCAGCAATACGTATTCTATAAGGGATAGAAAGATCCAAGGGGTCCTGATTAATGTGCAATGCCCTTCATTGCGTTACTGTAAGCAGGGCAGTAGATTCCCCCTTCTCACCAGGAGAGAAATCACATAGACTGGTCCAAGACAGGCCAATTTGCTACCAACTCCCTTGATCCAAACACAAAGACATTCGGATACCAGGAGGAGCAGGTGGTAAACTTCTCTAGAAGCCTTTTGTGCCCAATTAGCAACTGGCTTGGGGGTGCCCAGCCAAGCAGCTGAAGTGGTTCTGCCCTATCTTTCACTGGGGCAAGCAGGCCACTAGGTGGTAGCCTCTTCTGGCAAAACCAGGCTTTATGATGGCCCAGAAGTCTGTTTGCCTCCTTTGGTCTTTGCAGCAGGGTCGCAGGTCTGACTGAAGGCACATGCAGGACACCATCTCCACAGGCATTCAACTGAGAACTGCAGCTGAAGAAGACTCCTTTCACACTCACTGCGGAGATTAATACTTTCAGAGAGCAGTACAGGTCTCGGAGGTGCTGCATCAGCCTCTGAAAGCACTAATTTCTTTACATTGATTATAACATCACTGTTGGATTAACTGACTTTACTTAGAGGTCTCAGATATTTGTCTGACGCTGGGAAATAGAAAATCTGGGCCACAGCAACTGCAGAATTTCCATAAGAATAAACTAGTTGAGATAGATCTAGGTATGACATGATATATATAGAAAATAAATACGCTGGCAACTGAATTAAATTCCACCAAGGGGATGAAAAATTACATTGCAGAAAGGTATTTCAGCTAACACCCCATGGAATAATCATGAAAACTGACTACCCTAATGCAAGAGGTGATGACTCCAGAGCAGGGGCAAAACTAATGGAGGTATCTCCCAGATTCCTTCCACACTATATCCATCTCTGGGTAATGGCTTAAATGCAGTTTTTATCGACTCGCTTGTAATGGTTGTGAAAAGTGACAAATTAAATTAAATGTGAACCTGAAACAGTATTTTGCTTTTAATCTTATTAAGAAATGCAAGTACACTAAAATTATTCAAGTAGTTAAAATAATTATACATCATGGAACAACAGTATTCCAAACATTAGTGACCAACAGCTCATATAGCTATAAACAATAACATTTTCCATACCTGTTTGTGTGTCTCAATGTATTTAGAGTGTTTTCACATGATGCCATCCCAGGAGAAATTGTAGCAATCTGAAGAAAACAAGCCACACATTAATAAATCACTTTGTACAGATGAAAGGGTAGATGAATTTAAATGAACATTTTTTTAAATCTCCATTTTCATTTGAGATGTTCTACAAAAACCGTCTACTATGTGCAGCTGTCCTAATACAATGACATCTCAAGAAGAGATGTCAAGTCAAAGCTTCAATTTAATTTTTTCAACCATACCTGAAACATTAAGAATTCATAGAAAATTCAATTTCACCAATTTCACAGTCTTTGTAACATAATATGCATATGCAAAACTCTAATTAAAAAAAAAAAGACTCCTCAAAGAGGGAAATATACAACTCAGTAGAAAGTAAGCAAAATGTATCCTGCAAACAGTTACCAGATTATTTTTATATATATATCTTTGTAGACTATTCAAGCAGACTAATTTGAGAAATTTTTTTTGGCCACAGTACAAAACTGTACTTAATAATATTAAAGATAAGCATGTGTTTAAATATTTTCCAAAGTAAAAATTTTTTTTTTTTCTTTTTTTCTGACCTGAACATTATCTGTAAATATTACTTGATAGCTAACTTATTATCAAACAGCTGGAATCTAGAAGTCTTTCCTTTACCAGTTAAATAAAATACCCTGAAGATCTCACCTTCTTTTTAGCACTCAGCAGAAAATAATAACTGTGGTCAGGCAACAGTGGCATCATTATTTGTCCTAGTTTCTCTCAGTAGTCCAATTTTTTCATCTGTTATTCCTTCAGGAGAGCCATAAAGTACTACCCAGGACAAGCCCCTCTACGATCCTACACTAGCGTTTTTTCAGACTGAAACTTATGAAGATTAGAAAATCCTAGTCTTCGCTTTAATCCTGTTGCTGACATTACTGTACAAAAGCACAGGTATTCATCATGAGAGGAATTTCTCCTACTGGAAAGAAAGGAAAAATATGTGGTGGGAGGAAGTTAGAAAGTCTAAAGAGCCTGCTATCACACAGACTTAAGTTTAAACCTCTACTACTGGTATGAATCAGTTAGTAATGAAAACAAGTGTAGATTTAAAAAGTTCATATGATTTCATGACTCTCTATAAAGCATTCTGGGTGCTAAGTAACAAAAAGACCTACAAGTTGCTAAAATCCTTCCAAAGTCATTTAAAGTGAAAGGTATATGCATCTCCTCCATCAGTTTAATGTTTAGAGTATACTACAAAAGGCAAATGTCATAAGGCCCCAACTTTTGCATATAAGGTGCAGCTGCTATAGGGAAGTGCTGATACCCCCTTTAAGGACAGAAGAATCCATGCATAAGACTCAGTCTGTACTTCATCATATGTCCTCATGCCTCAACAAGTCCTGTCCAGCCAGGACAGGGGGACTCCAACCTGTCTGTCACTCGCTTCCTCATTCATGATTCCAAATGAGGATGAAAAAAGCATCACTATTTATGGACAGGAATATCCTTAAGACCTGTAACTACCATTCTTCCTATTTTGAATGTGTCTACATTACTTACAAGCCACCACAGTGGGATCATTGGCCTTTCTGGGACATTGAAGTCACCAAGTTCCTACTCTCCCCCCTGGAGAGCTGAGGGGTCTGGCACTTCATCTATGACTGCAGCATGTCAAGGATGCAACAGATCAAACATTAAATACCGGTTAAAAAATTAGACTATTCTATGTAGCTACCTTGCATATTTCAATTTATGATATCTTATCCTACTATGTAACTCTTCAAAACCAACTTGAAATATTATGGTAAATGCTCCATCCCTGGCAGTGTTCAAGGCCAGGCTGGACAGAGCTTTGGGCGACATGGTCTAGTGTGAGGCATCCCTGGCCATGGCAGGGGGTTTGGAACTAGATGATCTTAAGGTCATGACACCAATCCTAACCATTCTATGTTTCTATGATTCTATGTTCAGTTTTGGGCCCCAGAAAAATATTGAGGTGCTGTAGTGTGTCCAAAGAGCAGTAACGAAGCTGGTGAAGGGTCTAGAGAACAAGTCCTATGAAGACCAGCTGAGGAAACTGGGGTTGTTTAGTCTGGATAAAAGGAGGCTTAGGGGACACCTTATTGCTCTCTACAAATACCTGAAAGGAGGTTGTAGTGAGGTGGGTGTCAACCTTTTCTCCCAAGTAACAAGTGATAGGATGAGAGGAAACAGGCTCAAGTTGTGCCAGGGGAGGTTTAGATTGGATATTAGGAAAAATTTCTTCACTGAAAGGGTTGTCAAGCATTGGAACAGGCTGCCCAGGGAAGTGGTTGATTCACCACTGCTGGAGGTATTTAATAGTTGTGTAGATGTGGCACTTAGATACATGGTTTAGTGGTGGACTTGGCAGTGCTAGGTTAATCATTGGACTCGATGATCTTAAGGGTCTTTTCCAGCCTAAATGATTCTACGATTCTATGAAATTACTTTTGAAAATATTTAAGGACAAGAACTCCATTAAAATTGCAATGACTGATAAAGTCCTATACCTATTTATGCTGACTGTATGCCACTGTATTTCTTTAGAATAATGCAGATCCTAGTCATAACTGTCCAAAGGGAAATTAATTTCAAAATATTTTTTTAATTTGACAAGACTAAATTTTAAAATCATATTTTAACTTTCTATACAGATGATATGCTCCATCCCTAAAGATGCAACTTTTAAAATTGCAACAAGAAATTCCGTAAATGATAAAAGGCAAAGTCAAATAAAAATTAAGTGTAGAAATTAACAAAAGAAATGTCACTCAAACACCCCATTTACAGATCAGTATATCAGAAAGTAAGTGAAAAAAACAAGGTAGGTACTTTATACCAGGATGCTTCAGGAATCTCTCAGAAAGTTAAAATCACAAGGTTTTACTACATCATTTTATATGCTTTCCATATTAAGAAGTATCACATATTTACAAAATGTCTTACTCTCTAACAGCACATTAGAACATTGGAATCCTTTTACAATAAATGCCTCCTCACTGACAAGCAAAACCAACATCATAAAAGAGGTAAAATTTTGATAACTGATCTTACATGTTCAATAAATAATGTTCTCTAATTGAATAATACTTCTATAGTGCAATCTCTTTAATTTATTTTGCCTGTAACAGGCTAAAATATTTTGGAGGAAATGCTACCATTATCTACGTTACCTTGTTATAACACTAATGTATAATTGTTTTGCGATGGTGGTGTGATATTTAAGAAGGGGAAAAAAACCTGCTGCGCAACAGCAGCAGAGAGGAGTGAGAATACGCGAGACAAACAACTCTGCAGACACCAAGGTCAGTGAAGAAGGAGGGGAAGGAGGTGCTCCAGGCACTGGAGCAGAGATTCCCCTGCAGCCCATGGTGAAGACCATGTTGAGGCAGGCTGTCCCCCTGCAGCCCATGGAAGCTAACGGTGGTGCTTCTAGACTAATTCCAGGGAGCCTGTGAAAAGTAACCAATACAAATGTATTGGGTCTGGCTGAGATGGAGTTCATTTTCCCCATAGCAGCCCTCATTGTGCTGTGCTTTGTATAAGTAGCTAGAAAGATGTTGCTAACACACCAGTGTGATAGAGCAGCTTGGTGAGCAGCTGGTGGGTAGCCAAGGTCAACCCACACAGAAAACAAGCCTAATAGTCAGTGTCCACTGCATATAATTTGCATTTCCATAAAGAGAAGCATTAAGGTTGTACAAATAAAACCACTGGACATTTGTGCTTTTATCTGTCCTTTCCACCATCTGACAGAATTCTGTTTTCCAGATTGATGCAAATGCACATTTATACAGTATAGGACTATTCATCCCATCTATCTAAACTACTTCTCCCCTCAACAGCCCAGAGCATATTCTGATGCCTTTGATACCAATTCTAAATTTGCCTGTCATTTAAATATCATAACTCATCACTATACTTCCAGTCTATACCACCTTTTCCAAAATTCTGATTCAACAAACAGTACTCTCACAGTTTCACAGTATGCTAGAGATTGGAAGGGACCTCAAAAGATCATCTAGTCCAATCCCCCTGCCGGAGCAGGAACACCTAGATAATGTTACACAGGAATGCATCCAGGCGGGTTTTGAATGTCTCCAGGGAAGGAGACTCCACAACCTCCCTGGGCAGCCTGTTCCAGTGTTCTGTCACCCTCACTGAGAAGAAGTTTCTTCTCAAGTTTAAGTGGAACCTCTTGTGTTCCAGTTTGTACCCATTACCCCTTGTCCTATCATTGTTTGCCACTGAGTAGAGCCTGGCTCCATCCTCGTGACACTCCCCCTTTATATATTTATAGACACTAATAAAGTCACCCCTCAGTCTCCTCTTCTCTAAACTATAGAGACCCAGCATCCCTCAGTCTTGCCTCATAAGGGAGATGCTCCACTCCCTTAATCATCTTAGTTGCCCTGCGCTGGACTCTCTCCAGCAGGTCCCTGTCCTTCTTGAACTGAGGGGCCCAGAACTGGACACAATATTCCAGATGCGGTCTCACCAGGGCAGAGTAGAGGGGAAGGAGGACCTCTCTCGATCTACTAACCACCCCCCTTCTAATACACCCCAGGATGCCATTTGCCTTCTTGGCCACAAGGGCACAGTGTTGGCTCATGGTCATCCTGTCGTCCACTAGGACCCCCAGGTCCCTCTCCCCTACACTGCTCTCTAACAGGTCATTCCCCAACCTATACTGGAACCTGGGGTTGTTCCTGCCCAGATGCAGGACTCTACACTTTCCCTCTCATATAATTAAAACATTATTAAAAACAATCAAACAAAAAAACCCTCAAGCTAGAAGTGCTTCTAGCTATGTTCCTAGCTACAAAACTAGAATAAGCAATTAGAAAGGCCAATAAAAAGTGAGAAGGGAGCAAGTTACCTGAAATCTCTTCTGAAAGACTCACTCCAAATATAGTGTCAGTTAATGTATAAACTTAAGTCTAACACATCGCCAGTATCAAGTGTCCGGTTCTAAATATAAGATCCTAAATTCCCAGCTTCTTTTCTTTGTAATTGTTAAAACATACAGTTAACTAAAGAAACTTACCATACAGGTATGGGAGTTTTCTCCTATGAATGAATCTCTTAGCACTTGACTAAGTTTACTTGCTCTGAATGGTGTATGAGGTTTATTTCAGCCTAAGGCTCTAAGGCACTCCTGAAAGAACAGGTTGATATTTATTCAATCCATGTTAAAGAAAAATACGTAATACAAATGCAATTGAAATCAGAAAATATATGCCTTAGTTATGTTGCTGTCTTCTAAGGTATCATTAAAATTTACTATTAAGGCTTGAATTTAAAAAGCGTTAGGCTTTTACATCTCATTAAGTTCAGTAGAGAGGTAGAAACTTAGAAAGGATTTAAGAGCCTAAAAACATTCTGAATCTCATTCAAAATGTTTACATATATTGTATCCAACAACAGCAATAAAAAAAAAAAATCAGTGTTATTGCTAAATCTCCAGACTAACAACTATTTCTGATTATGAGCTGCAAAAGCCTGAATGATCTACAGCCTCTGCCAACAGAAGCAGCGTGGACAGTGACTCGTGTTAACTCTATCAGTTAAAAGCAGTAGCTTTAATTCTGGCTCTACCACTGACTTTCTTTAAAGCTCAGAAGAAAACACTGGTGCCCAAACTTTCTGAAAGCTTCCACAGGTCACAAACCTAGTAAGTATAGCTCTGTATTGATGTACTCAGTATTGGAAGACAATTGAAAATGTAAATCGTGTTCTGTTTTAGAATACTCTTCATGTGAAAAAACAGGGATAACATCTTCCCTTTCACTCATAAGAAGGGTATGGGGCTAAACTAATATTTGTAATTGATTGGAGAGTTCCAGAGAGAAATACTGTACAGAAGATAATATTAAGAAATTACTATAGAACTTAGAGCAGCAACTAAATATGACAGTGCAAAACAAGACTGCACTAATCTAATAAATTACTTCTTACAGGAAGAAAGTTTAAATTTAAAAATCTGTTTTTTTGCTGTTGTCATATTTTGATCATTAATTTCAGTTTCTGGCTTTGCCTTAATATTTTGTGTACAGGCATCTCTTCAGATTCAGGGCTTCCTTGGTACAGTTTTAGCATGCTTACCCACAGAACTTCTTCAAACAACCCTACATCAAAATCTTCTCATATTACATCTTTGCTTTTATCAGGACCAACAGATGGAAAGGCTTTTGTGTTACATGAATAGTTCTACAGTAGTTCAACTAATCCTCCAGCTGCAGCCATATCCTTGTGGTCTTTTGTAATTTCCTTGAAACAGCTTCTTCCAAAAGCAGGCTAGAAACTGAGGGATGATAACCCAAGAAAGCATTGCAACTGTGAAGCATCATAAAACAGAACTAAATAGGCTCACAATGAAACCATGATACAGAACAGAACAAACACAAGGGCAAGTTGGCTTTAACTAAAGTGATTATTTAAAAATTCACCACCTGAATTTTATAGAATGGACACAACTCATATAAACAGAAAGACTGAAGCTTGTTGAATGTAAATTTCACATGCAGATGCTAAAAAGGACTCGATACTTATAGGTAAGCAAGGAAATGCACTGATTGAATTTTTAAAATTTGGTTATACATTACTACTATACTTACATAAGGAGAAAAGCAGATTAGACAGGAATAGGGGCAACAGACTTAGCAACTGACATTACAAACTAAAACTAGTAAGAAATGTGTATGCTGAATTCATAATATGGCAGCCAACTAGTGTAATTAATTTTCATTTACTATAATGATTTTTAGCTTGCTTATTCCTGAAATTTTAATATTGGATTGTCTCTTTAATAGTAAAAGGATTATAGGACACTGACAGCTTCTAAATTAATGGAGCTTTTAAACTACTGTTGCTTTTCAACACAGCTCAGAAAGCCAGGTAACAAAATGATAGTACTACTTCCATGTAGAGACATTACAGAAATAATTTCCTGTGTCAAAAATATGAACAGGTTAAGACAAGACTGATGCAAATAGAAAATCTTGAATTAGAACCAAACCCCACTCTTCTTAACATACTAGTTTAATTCAAACTTGACAATAACTTCAAGGGTCTTGAATACAAATGAAAAAAAGGTGCAATTTTTTTGGCATAGATGAAAATTGGAAAACCAACGCATCATTGAGAAACATTTATAACTTTTTGTACAGCTGTTTAGACCTCTGCAAGACCTACACTTATTTTTATTTCCCCTTCCCCATATAATTTATATCACAACCACCAGTACAGCAGAGTCTTTCACTATAATTCAAAAGAAAAATTGTATGAAAATGACCCAAGTATGTTGTATGGGTACTGTATTGAAAACACTAGCCAGCACAAAATCAGCAAGTAAACTAAAAAAACAAAACCAAAACAGCTTTATTCAGTTACATTTGGAAACAAGTGATAACATCAGTACAATGTTGATTTGATTATTTATTTTAATACTAAATCAAAACAGGCCATAGTTTTGGAACTGCCAATTCCAGTTTTTCAACATGACATACAATTTTGTAATGACACATTACAATTTTGTGCTTTTTTGTGAGATCTCTTAGAGTCTGATACAAGTCTTTTCCCGAGTTTATACTCAGATACAAAAGTGATCATAGTGACTTTTGCATTTAGATTCTTTATATAAAACCACAGTGCTGGTGCAGAGAGCAGTAAACTTAAGCAAAGCTAACCAATGACAGAGATAAGTTCTGGGCTGTTCAAGACTACTGTTTCCCCAAGTGAGAAAAAAAATACTTTCACTATTTAGACTGAACCTTTTTTGAGCATTATGAAACAAAAATTTGAATATTTAAATAATATTTCTTACCTCTCTTGATGTGCTCTAGATTAATGTATGAAAATCTGCAAAGTGATTGTATCAGACAATTTGCTCTAAAGAGTAGTCAAAAATGGAGTCCAACTTTCAAGGGTTATTTTAACAGATTTCTTAATTCTTTCTGGATATGGTGCTGTTGTGCTGTTTTCTTCTTTTGTTAATTAATTACCAATGGTAATCTAATCTGTCATAAAGGTAATTTTTTATTTTTTCTTAAAAAAATATATAGAGAGATCAAAAAGAATATTTCTAGCTAGCATTTCAGAGTACCAAAGACAGTCATCTCCCATTTTAGGTGTATATCAGAAAAGTGTTCAAATTCAACTTTTTTTTTCTTCTTTTTAAACTACATGAAAGTTATTTTACCTGTCACATCAGTAGACAATGTAGACAAGTAAAGCCTGCAAAACCACTCATTTTAGTAGTAATTGTTATTATATGTAGAAGGATTCCACCTACTCAAAGGCAATAGAAACATTTCAGTTACCTTGAGTGCTAAAAGGCTTTTGTTACTTCTGCACATTCCAGTCAAGTCTGCCTATCTGCACTGGAAGTATCTGCTCCTCTTTCATTGCCAGCCAAATCAATCAGAGAAAATCTACCATGCAGTTTCCCTTTTCTTCTAAGAATAATCTGAAATACTGCATGGCTTCGAGATGAGCGTTCATTTGCAGATGTCTGTCCAGGTGTCCTTTGACAAAAGAAAGGAAAGACATATGAATGAACACGCTACCATTGGAATGTTAGTATTTTCAGGGCAGAGTCCTGTATTACCCTAATAATTTGATGTACATAGTATAATTATACCTATTTTTCCAATTCTTCAAACAGAAATGGAAAATTAATAACATTTTACTTCCCTCTTAAAAGCAAGAATAATCAGATGCCCAAAGATTTCAGACTATCAGAGAGCTTATATGTAAAATGCCGCATGCAGCATTTTTATCTGGTCAGGCAGTTTTCTATGCACAAGGCTAATTTTAAAAGCAACGAAGCTGTATCTTAAAAAAAAAAGTATATATATATATATACACTTAACTTCTGTCACTACATGTCAAGGCCTTTTAGAACTGAAGAGTCTGGTGGTACTCCAGATTATAAATAATGCAAATTTAAGTCAGTAAGCTGGTTAAATAATGCATGCCATTCACATCCTGTCGAAAAATCAGTCTGTATTTCTGTCTAGGAGAGAAACTCTAAACTATCTTTATTCAATAGACAGGCAGATTCTTTACTTGCAGTCAACTACCACTGCATATTAAAAAAAAAAAAAAATCACTATGAAGAGATACAAAAAAATCTTGTTTTGATTCATTAATTTACAATGACAAACTGGTGGAAGCTATTGGAGATACCTGCAGCTGTTGCCTATTTCAATAAGTTTAAGAACATCTTCAACACATTTGACTTCCCATTCCTGAAATCCCACCACCTGGACTTGCTGTTTACCATCTTCTGACACTCTTAATTTTGACTTCCTGTTCAACAAGTCAAAGACCTTATGTCGTGGTTTAAACCCAGTCAGGCAACTTGTTCACTCACTCCCAGTGAGTGATGCCAGGCTGACAACAGTCGAGCCCCCCCCCCCCGGGGCTCTCCCCTTCCCCGCTCCCAGAGGAACGGGGAGGAGGATCAAAAGGGTGCAACTCCTAGGGGTTGAGACAAGAACAGTCCAGCAACCAATGTACAACACAAATCACCACTGCTACTACCAACTACAACAAGGATAAGAGAAAATAACAAGGGAAGAGAATACGATACCACCGGACAAGAAACGAGTCCCACCTGGAAGCCCGTGTCCTTCCGGGTAACTCCCAGTTAACCCCCACCCCAGGCATGACGTGCTGTGGTATGGAATACCTCCTTGGCTAGCCTGGGTCAGGTGCCCTGTCTCTGCTTCCTCACAGCTTCTCCTCCTCCCTGGCAGAGCATGAGCCTCACAAAGTCCTTGGTCAGGGTAAACATCACTTAGCAACAACCGAAAACATCGGTTTCACCAACATTGTTCCCAGGCTGGAAGTCAAAACACAGCACTGCACCAGCTACCACAAAGGAAAAACATGACTGCTACTTCTGAACCCAGGACACCTTGGGGGGGGGGGGGGAACAGAACAATTAAAGAGTAGCTTTAAAAGACATTTTTGCTTTAAACCTCATGTCAAAATATGCAAAGCATTCCATGCACAAACACGATTGGAAGGGAAGTGTAATGAATTATTTCAAATTACACTTTCAGTACAAAAAGTAAAAAAAAAATCTTTTATGTGACAAGCTCACAATCTTGTTTGTGAAAGAGAAATTCCACCTTCCTCAGAAAAAGATCAGGTACTTACCTTACCACTGCAGATCGCAAAAAATGTTGCATATACTTGAAGTTCTAACTTCTTATAGTTTGGCTTCTTTATCATTAAAAAGACATGTCGAGCTGTGAATGCATTTCCAAAATAAAAAGAAATCTAGTTACGTATTTTCATTTAGTGAAGACTCATTAATGTATAACAGTGTATATTTTACAGCATCTCTCATATTTTGCAAGGGTAACAGATAGGGTCAGTCAATCAAGTAAAAAACACTGTGGTTTAAACTGACACATTACATTAGAAGATGCAGAAGACCCCAAGACTGTAAACTCAATCATCAGTTATATTTCTTATGTTTTTGAAGTCATCTATATACATATTTACTGTGTAAAGACTATACACCTAGGAACTATTTTTTTTTCCAAAGCTCCACTGTGATGCAAAAATGCAGACTCATGTTTGTAGGACAGGGAATAGAAATGCATTGACTGCAACTAATTTACAAAAAGCCAACAGAACAATGAAGACTCACCTGTGAGTGCATATATTCCTTTAGAACAATCTTGGCTCTTTCCTGAAAAGTCACCACCCATAGTCTGAATAAGAAAAAAAAACCAAAAGAACCAAACAAAACAAAAAACACAGTATAAAGATCACAGAACTGTAAATTACATATTTGTTACTTATTAAAGTAATTTATTAAAATGTATTGTACATAGAAAGAAGTGTATTACTGACATGTAGAAGAAACACTTAGATGGGGTTTTCCACTGCCTGTTTGTCCATATGCAAAACAAATGGTCATCCCCCTTTCAAATATGGTCTCTACTAACAGTCGAGCTGTAAACCTTAAAAGCAAAAAAACAAAACAAAAAAAAAATCCCAAACAAAAACAGTACTTAAGAAACTTATTTACTTTAAGGTGCCACAGTCTCGCAAAGACACTACAAATTTTAAGGCCAGAAGTGACAAAACTGGTTCCGTACTTTGAGAGGCCAAAGGACATCTCCACATTAAGTCCTGAACTAAAGAGGCTACCAGCTCTAAGGCTTTAAAATATCCTAAACAACTAAACAAAAGCTACAAGGTATCTCCCATTTATTTTAAAACATTATTATCCTCCTTCAAACCTGGAGGGGAAAATAAAATAAACCCTTGTTTTAATGAATGCAACATGGCAGAGCTTACTACGTGGAATATGGAGCTCTCTAAAGAAGACAGCATTAGAAGATACAAAAGTAGGACAGTGCAGCAGATAAATACATAGATTTTGGCAATACAAAATTATAGGGTGGTGGTTTAGTTGGTTGTTTGGTTGTTTTTTTTTTCCCCCTAAATTGGCTTCCAAGATTAAGTTTAGAAGACAGGTGACCAAAACAACATTGCATGCCTTACTATTTTGAGAAAATAGTTACACTGAGAAAAGGCTCAAGAAAACATACACCCAAACTCATCAGAAGGGAAAAACCCTGTTATCCCTTCAGTATTATCTGTTGTATCAAAAATATTCTCCAAAGTATATTTTTTTCTGGTTTAGAGAAGTAATTTTTACTTTAAAAAATTTAGAGTTATTGCTCCTACTTCAGCTTCTTATCACCATTAACTTCATTAAAAACTCTAAAAGCAAAGGGTATCCTTACGGAGGGTTATCTCTACTAGGTGATGGAGATAAGAGTCTCTCTGCAACAGTCTCTCTTTCTAAACTTTTTCCAGGTGTTTACACTTAAAGTATGCTTAGTGACAGAAACAAGAATGATTACAGAAACAGAGAGGGTTTGCAACCTTCTTTCATGCTATTTTTGGAACAAACACAAGATCACATACAAAAATAACATGGGTAAGACCGAGCCATTCAGCAATCAAGGGTTATGCAAACATCTGAGTTAAATTGACTCTACAATTTTCATCAAAAATGTACCAGATGATTCCTGATCACCCTTAGTCTTTCTTTTTTGCTTCCTCCAAACATAAACTTCTTTTGTCCTCAAGAGGTTATTCCCATATTTCGGTGTTTGTTCTTTTTATATTTAAAATACAAACTTCAAGAAACCTGTTCACCTAAGAAGCATGTTCCATTATCCCCATTTGAATGAATTTGAAACTATTTTGTTGATTTATAAAAAAAAAATGACTCAATTATATGTATTTTAAAATAAGGCAAAATACAAACATATCTTGAGAAGTTTTTGTAAAGCATTATAAAACTCCACATTATATCACACAAAATAGTCCATCTTTTCTTCTAGTATAACCTTTATTTGCAATCTTGATCCTTCAGAAATATAAACTCTGATTCTCCTTTAAAATTTAAAAGTCATACCCATTCACACTAGTACATGGTTTTGAATACTAAAGAGAACTTGCAACTCAAGTGTTGCAGCTCATGGACTCAAAATCCAGCTTAAACAAAATAATAATAATTAAAAAATTAGTAGTACATTTCTTAAGAACATTTTTCAGTACAGAAATACAGTAATTTTAGCATACTGAAGAAAACTGGAGTAATTGCTCATACTTTCCTTTTCCCACTGTGACACTGACTGATAGTTCTGAGAGCAGGCAACAATACCTGTCTTCCTCTTAATTGTGTTACTACAGGAGGCCTTGAAGCAGATTAACCTTCATGTAATAATCATTATTGTGACGTATGAGAAGGAAAAAGCCTTTACTGCTACACAGAATATTTTCTGTTTCAGAATAAATACAAGCATCTTTCAATATTTTCTGATATTACTAGTAATTTATTATGCAACTAATAAATATTGTCAAACTCAGTACAAAAACATAATAACATTGTATGTCAAAACCAGCCCTCACATTTAAACACTATGCTCACAAAGGCAAATAAAATGAATGAGGGATATAACTCCTGTTAAGCAGGAGGACATCTTACCAGCTAGACCACTCCTCCACAACTCTTCTGTATCAAGAAAGAAAAGATGCTACCAGTAGACACTCATTAGAGACAGAAATTTCCAAGGGCACAGCTTTGCTGTTTAGAAGTCTTTCATTAGTGTTAACTAACAGAATAAAAGGATGTTACTTTTCCTACCCTTCTCCTCTTACCTATATCAAACACAAGCTGAGTTTTCATTTTCAAGGCTTTTTAATAAATCTTTTACTATTGATTTTCTTTTATCTACTGTTGTGGTTTAAACTGAGATGGCAATTTAGAACTACACAAGTGCTCCTGCACTCCCCTCTTCCCCCCTCCCCTCACCTAGTGGGATGGGGAGGAGAATCAAAAGCATGCAAACCCCAAAGGTGGAGATAAGAACAGTATAATAACTAAAGTATAATATAAAAATACTACTACTAAAAAGAATAACAACGATAAGGGAAATAAGAGGAGAGAACATAAAACTAAAAAGGAGAGGGAAAAAAATCCCAATAAAAACAAGTGATGAGCAATTGTCATGGTTTAAGACCAGCTGGTAACTGAGAACCATGCAGCCACTCACTCACTCCCCACAGCACCTTCTTCCCCCCCACTCCCAGAGGGATGGGAATGAGAATCGAAAGAATGTAAATCCAGCGGGTTGAGATAATAACAGTCCAGTAACTAAGGTATAAAACAAAACTACTACTACCACCACCAATAATAATAATGATAAGGGAAATAACAAGGGGAGAGAATATAAAACTAAAAGGGGAAAAGGAAAAGAAAACAATAAACACAAGTGATGCACAATACAACTGATCACCACATGTCAACCGATATGCAGCCCAACCCAAGCAGCGATCTGGGCCTTATGAGCAACTCCCCCCAGTTTATATATGGGGCATGACATGCTGTGGTATAGAATATCCCTGCAGCTAGTTTGGGTCAGGTGTCCTGCCTTTGCTTCCTTCTGGCTTCCCATGCCCCTCCTCACCAGCAGAGCATGAGAATAAGAAAGTCCTTGATCACAGTAAGCATTATTTAGCAACAAATAAAAACATCAGTGAGTTATCAGCACTGTTCGCAGACTAAAGTCGAAAACACAACACTGCACCAGATACAAAGAAGGAGAAAAATAACTGTTACAGCTGAACCCAGGACAATATCCACCCCTTATTGCATAGCATTCACGTCATGCTCAGATTCCATTTTTTACAACATACCATCGCTTTTTGTCTCAAATATATATATACATACACATATAAATAGTCAGATATCATTCCATCCTGGGCATGACATGCTGTAGTATGGAATACCTCTGGCTAGTTTGGGTCAGGTATCCTGTCTCTGCTTCCTCCTGGCTTCCCCTCCTCCCTGGCAGAGCATGAGACTCAGAAAGTCTTTAGTCAGACTAAACATTTGAGCAGTAACTAAAAAGTTCGGTGTTATCAGCACTGTTCCCAGGCCGAAAGTCAAAAACACAGCACTGCACCAGCTGCTAAGAAGGAGGAAAAATGGCTGCTACTGCTGAACCGAGGACACTTAGTCTATGGACTATCTCTAGACTGAGAGTTTGCTGAAATCATTCAGTCCACGATTCAGGTTCCATCTCTTGTAACAGTCTTTCAGGACAGGAGAGATGGTGTGTAGTGTTGGATTACTGCCTGCTGATGAAACCGCCAAACTCATCTGGTCTCATCAAAGTTCATTCTTTGTTGGGATGATGACTGGAGGGAAGTCAGGGTCAGTTGATGGTGACCTGATAACAGTTCTGCTGCTGCTGGCTTTTCCCATAACATTATTCTCGGATGATGATCATGACAGCACATATCTTCTCTTCAAAGCCCAGAGAGGTGGAAATGGGCATATACCTGATAGGATATAGAAGTGCTATAGAGCAGGCAAAAGCAAATAATTCAGTTCATTAGCTGTTTTCCCAAAAATTAAATCTCCTTGATGTTTACACAGGATTTCTCCATCTTCTCACATTACCCACCAAGTATATCCAGGTCCCTGAGCAAAAGCAATCCCATGAGTCAGTTTGCCTTTACCTGAAGCAGGAATAACCCAGACTGTCTTCCCCAGTAAATTCTTAATGTGCACCACAGGAACTTTGTCCCCTTCTACAGTATGTAAAAGTTCTGACTGGGCTGGACCAGCCCTGTTGGCAGATCCTCTGGTGTTGACCAACCAGGTGGCTTTTTGTAAGTGTGTATCCCAATGTTTGAAACTCCCACCACCCATTGCTCTCAGTGCAGTTTTTAACAGACCATTACACCGCTCAATTTTCCCAGAGGCTGGTTCCTGGTAGGGGATGTGATATACCCACTCAATGCCATGTTCTACGGCCCAAAGGTCTATAAGTTTGTTCCGGAAATGAGTCCCATTGTCTGACTCAATTCTCTCTGGGGTGCCGTGTCACCAGAAAAACTGTTTCTCAAGGCCCAGGATAGTGTTCCGGGCAGTGACATGGGGCACCATGTATCTTTCAAGCCATCCAGTGGTTGCTTCCACCATGGTAAGCACATGGCGCTTGCCTTGGCGGGTTGGTGGCAGTGTGATAAAGTCAATCTGCCAGGCCTCCCCATATTTGTACTTCAGACATCATCCTTCGCACCAGAAATGCTTTAACTGCTTGGCTTGCTTCATGAATGAGGTGGGCAATAGTGTCCATTGTTAAGTCCAACACTCAGTTACAAGCCCATCTATATTTTGCATCTCTGCCTTGATGGCCTGAGGTCTCATGGGCCCACTGGGCTAAAAATAATTTATCCTTATGTTGCCAATCTAAGTCCATCTGAGCCACTTCAATCTTAGCAGCTTGATCCACCTGTTGGTTGTTCTGGTGTTCCTCAGTGGCCCGACTCTTAGGTACATAAGCATCTATATGGCATACCTTCACCACCAGGCTCTGCACCCTGGCAGCGACATCTTGCCACAGTTCAGCAGCCCAGATGGGTTTACCTCTGCTCTGCTTCCACTGCTGCAACCACACCCACAAGGCATTTGCCACCATCCATGAGTCAGTACAGAGGTAAAGTACTGCCCATTTTTCTCTTTCAG